ACGTGAACAACCAACTGTGGAATGAAATGAAACATAATTAAATAGAACAACCACATCTTTCGAAATATCATTAATAAACTAAACTCTTTATCTTACAGAAGATACGATAACTGATAATTTTCTCTACCGCAGATCAGTTCTCTTTCTTCTGTAGTTCTTTCGAGAAGGTAGAAACATCTCTTGGGTAGTATCTCACGAGAAGCACAAAAGATAAACCAATCACTTGGAGTAACCGAAGACACAAATCGATTACCATGTCCGCAATAACTATATCCTGGATGAATGTACCAAGATTGAGGTAACCGTAGCGATTCAAGGCTAAACTCAGCATACAGTTACCCGATCTCAGCAACAACAAAAGATTCGAACACTTCGCACGTGATACGATACATGTAGTAATTTGAGGTCGGTGAAATGAAAGAGACGGAACACTGTGTGAAGTTGAAATATAATTAAACACTTTATTTGTCGGAAAGAAACAGAAGAGAGGTCGATCGTACAAGTAGAGGACTATTGCATTAAGTTTAAAATCAAAATAAACTACATTTAAGGATTAAATAGGTGATGCACGCAATCAACAAACATAACAAGTAATAAGTTAAAAAGCGGAAGAAACTTCACCAGAAAGCCCTAACGCTTCCAAGTCAGAGACCACGTTTATAGTTCTCTCTGTATAGCTGACTAATAAAAAAATTTGATCATTAAAATCTGGAAGTATCTACCGTTCCATGTAACAAGTGCAAAGCAGTCGTCCGTATACAGGGTAAAGTTGGATGCAATAAAAACTACCCAAGAAGCAGTGAAAGCTTCCTTGAACTAATCCTGCTACACAAAGTAATAATCACGCTGAGTTTAACACATAACCTAACGGGATTTATGGTGATCGAAATTATCATTTATAAAAATTTAACTTTTTGTGGACATGAAATTTACACACGAATGCATGGCAGATATGATAACTGATAAAACTTCCAGATTAGCCGGCAATATATCACATGGCTATAGATAGAAACTGTGAGCTTTGATTAGCTGAGAGTATGTCACGTGGTTAAAGATAAGAACTGTGAAATTTAAAGGATCACAATGAGTGTTATCAAGGTGGCATCAAAAGATGACACCCAGCCGAAGAACCTTTTCAGTGTTTATATCATCTACACTTCGTTGACCTTGGAAATGCATGACTAATTGGTAGGTCACTAAATATTGACAATGAAGGGTTAAAATAATGTATCACAACCATATCTCAAGATAGAATAAAGTTAATTTCTGTATTCTTTACATTATCATCATGGCTGTTCTATCAGTTTTCATCATTTACTTCAGTATTTACTTTTGCTCTACGTATCTCCGGTTTTCTATAATGTTAAACTAACATATTTCTTCAAAGTAAATATAATTATATTGTTTTTGTTTTTTACGAACTCACAATTGCTTTTCAAAACTAAAGAGTTTTCACAACCTCTTTTTTTATTTATGAAAAGACTTCATAATCGATACACTTATATTTGTTACGTCAGTTGCTCAATAAAGTTTTCAAAATAGCCTATTAAATTATACCAGAACACAGTATAACCACAGTGGATTCAGATTGGTATCTAACCCCGCCCAATGGGGGTAGAGCTATTATTTGCAATTTTGTGTGTCTGTCTCTGTGTGAACTGTATATCTAAACACCTTTATCTGATTCTGATTGCATTTAATAAAAAGGTTGAGTGTTCCACCAGCAATCAACTGATGAACTTTTGGTAAATATAGCTAAAAGTTCAAGGTCACACTGAAGGTCAACCACTTTCGTTAAAATAGCAACAGGAATTTTGCAGAATAGTCGAAACTCATGAACAAATTGAAAGAGAAAAAAGATATTGGCACTGTAACGAATTTGTTATTATATATTCATTTTAATATCGACGTTTGTTTAGATTAAGTTTGTATTTAGAAACATGCATAGCTTATAGTGTTAAATATGAATTGCAAGACTCCCGCCTATTCTCTAAAGTTGTAGAAGATTCTCGAGAGTAAGAATCAACAATATATGTGTGTATGTAAACGCTTGTATTAGCGTCAGTATTGTTACGTAAAACTAAAATTTGGAGAAAGCCTCCACATGCCTATAAATATAACCAACTTGAAGTGCCAAAAGAGAGTATTTATTATTCGTCTACTATAGTCAGTGTGCTATGAACTTCGAAAGCTATAACTGTGATTGTTATAACACTTATCAATCGGAAAACTTTACAATGTTCGAACAATACAAATCATTTAACTTCAGTGGATTCTCATCGGACATTAGTACTTTTACGAAAACATTACATAATGTCACGGTGGAAAACTTGATGTGTGTGGCTGGTAAATAATGAAGGACAAAGCCAACTAGCTCCCTGTTAAGTGAATTATACCTACGTCAACTCGTAATTGACTCACTCATCGTGAACCCTTGATAAGATATCGAAGAAGTTCCAGACTAGATAGAAGACTTTAAATTACTTGTAAGTTTGTGAAACTTTTGTTTATAAATCATTGTTTGTTATAACCGTTATTATAAATTGTATTGTTATGTGTATATTAAAACGTATTTGTGTTCAAAAAGAAAAGTGTATGTATCAATCTTGTTGACAAATATCATAAACAGACCATATATTGGATTTTACTTAACTGCTAAATCCAAAGTACAATTTAACTACTAAATTTAAAGTATCATTTAACTCGGTTACAGACCATTTGAAATTATAATACGTAACAGCACCTAGACCCAGATTTGTGAGGGCGAGGAACTGTTTGATGTATATTTTAGGTTGTTTAATACAAAAATCAAGAACACTGGTGGACACCTCTAGGTGTCGTTTTAGTGCAATATATAAGAAGAAAGTTGTTTCTAGTTACCATCTCATATTCTTTTGACAGCTCCACGGGGTTTGTCAGAAGTTCAGGATATCCTATTCTCTCGGTTATAGCGTTACTCTGTTAAAATATAATATATTTGTCAGAACTTCAGGATATCCTATTCTCTCGGTTATAACGTTACTCTGTTAAAATATAATATATTTGTCAGAAGTTCAGGATATCCTATTCTCTCGGTTATAGCGTTACTCTGTTAAAATATACTATATTTGTCAGAAGTTCAGGATATCATATTCTCTCAGTTATAACGTTACCCTGTTATAATGTAATGAAATACATAGATTCACGTGCTTAGAATTAAACACTTAAAAAAAGTGTTTTATGGTTAGTTCACAGCCTCACTTATCAGATCATCACATTATTCTTTTTATCACGACTTCAGATTGGAAAAAGAACGTAATAAAGCTGATAAACGAATGAAACAATTTTATTATTATTTATTTATGAATGTGCTTGAATGTTTTCATAGCGTTTAATTGAATAATATCCGTTGAACATATACATATTCAAAGTCAGATTTCATTCCTAAAGTATAATGTACTAATTCAAATATACACGAATGATACATAATTCTAAATAGATTTTAGATAATTTTTTCACATTTTAGATAATCAAATCACTTGGAAAAAAAATACAATGCGGGCTAAATCAGATAAAATTTATGTTACAAGTGCTAAATTACACTGACTACAATCGTTTATAAAGCTCTTTTGGTTTCTTTGTTTATTTTGCTATTTTGACACAAAACTACAAAAAGGGCTATCTGCGCATAACCGTCCTTAATTTTGAACTGATAGACTAAAGGAAAGGTGGCTAGTCAAACAACATCCACTGCCGACTCTTGGACTACTCTTTTCTAACCGAATAGTGGAATTTAACGGTCCATCTTATAGGGTGCTCACAGCCCCTTAGTGCTGAGCGCGATGTTTCTGCAATGGGACCGAATCATAGCCATTCGGTCTATGCTAACCATTAAGCCATGCCCGGCACATGAAGCTTTGTGTCGGTATTGCCCTTAGTAACGAAAAACTCCAAGATTGAAAAGTATAGTTTAAAAAAAAACTTTAGGCTCAACATGCAGTACAATCACGTTTCAACTCCCCAGAATATAAGGGTTTAACAATGTTGCCTCTAGAGGTTTGAATGATGTTTCTTTGCCTACATTAATTCAATAACAGTGTTAATAATTGTAACTGAAACAGGATTAATCAAGTTAACACTCGAATCTTTTGACACATATGCTTCACTGCATTACAATATGATAAAATTCAAACTTCCAATAGTTTACCTTTTCTTTAGCTACGGTGCGAGTTTCATCGTTCATCCACTCGTTCTCTTCAAGTAGTTCATTGAAAGCCTCTCTGATGTTATGAATCATTTCTAAAGCCTTGAGAGTAAACGTTTACAAATCACTATATTTATTGCAACAATGATAGCGATGTACATATAAACTGCATGGTGTACTTCTACAAGGAAGCAAGTTCTGAGGGACACATATATATATACATTGTTGTTTACTCTTAATTATAATATATTTATAAATTTTGTTCTGGATATTACAGCAATCTTTCCCACGAGAAAGTGCGTGTGACCTCCTAGATTAATGGCGTAGTTTGTGAATAGGCTTTAATAATACAGGCTTGCGATGGTTTTATTGTCTTGAAATTTTTACTTGTTCTACAGTAATTCCTGTACGCTGAATTCGAAAATGATATTCATTTTTCTCCATCACGTACAAATTTTTCACAAAGCGTCGTAACGCAAAACAGACATAATAATACAAATTTTTCATTGTCGTAAACGAAATAATAATTTGATCTAAGTAAGAGTTTTTTTTCCTTCCTGATTTGTAAAAACTCGTTACGTGATAGAAAAAAATATATTATTTTTGAAATTTGCTAGCTGAATTATGGAAAATCCGTTATTAAAACCAAAACACTTTTATGAAGTTTAAATTCCTAGACCTGTATTATTGGCATGAAATATACTTACTCATTAGAGCATGAAAAAATCACATAACTAAAATTATCATTTACTCAGTGTCCAATCTTTTTCACTTACTCAGAGTTAAATCTTTTTTACACTTACTCAGAGCTAAATCTTTTTTTTTTCGATTTTAGTACAAATTACAGTGACTATAGTTTTTAAGTACAAAGAAAACTGCCAAGTCTTATCATTATGATTATTAGAAATAATATGTATTACAATATGGAAAAAGAAGGTAAATAAACAAGCTTGTCTTAGATAGGGTTTGTACACTTAAATAGAAATAATATATATGCTACTTTAGTCCAGAGTTCGTAACAGGGTTAATTAAATATAAAACTTATAAATTATGAAATTAAATTTTAATATCAACGTTAAAAACCAATTCTGAGTCTTCGAAACAATCATGCACTTAGTTTCTCAATCAGTATCCAGTGGTGTTGTTCTAAAAGTTCTAGTTTGCAAAAACAGTTGTTGTATCAAGTTTTTATTAATCTACCATGAATAACGACGTATCAAATCACCATATACTTACGGTTTCTTTACTGGATAAGTCAAAATTGTTTCGAATGAAAAGCGCTCCTACTGCCATCCCCATCTTCTTGTTTACCAGGTCGATGCATTGGCTCCATCTCACGCGATTAGCAGAGACCCCTAACAGAACTTTTCGAAACTCGGACAGCTTCTGAGTATACTCTCCGTTCAAATGGGGAATCATTTCGTTGACAAATCGCCAAATAGCGTAATTGTGTATGACACTAAAACGATATTTGAAAAATAATCTTGTTCATTTGTACATTTTGCTCTTAAAACTTATATTTGCAAACAATGGAATAATTAGGTACTTACAATAAGGTTATGGTGATCGGTAATCAATTTGTTGTCTCGGTTGGCAGCCTCTGATAATTCATTCGAATAATTAATTAAATCAGAATTACCCCTTTTTTTTGGCTTTTGCGAATACAGAAGATGTTAAGAATAATGAAGAAAAAATCATCACTATGAGCTTCCTTGACAATGGATAACCTGGATACTTAATAAAGAAAACTAACGCTAAGAATTAACAGGGAGAAAATTACAGACACACAGAAACATTTTCCTGCGTCAAAGATATCAGAAAATATTAAAATATTTTGAAAGTAGTATTTTGAATCAAATCCAAAGAGATAGAAACCACACAAACGAAAACAAAGGCAAACAAGGCTTCAACACCCAATCAATTGATTTAAAGTAACACAAATTGGTAATTAGTGACTACAAATATTATCTAATTAAGGGAGAAATATATGATAAAAGCAATAAGTTACTAATTGCTATACTAATTATTATCTGAGAACGGTGCCAAAGTAAATTAATGTAATAGCTTTATTATTTCACCTGCTTACATATTATTAATGCTTTTATAATTACAAAAAAGCATATTATACGTCTAAATATACGTTTGAGCCAAAACATAATTTTGCTTTTTGTTTTCGCTCGAGTGTTTTTGGATAGATTTCACGTTACATCAACCCAAAATAACTACAGTGTAATCATTATTCTTTAACTAAACCTTTAAAATAGAAGCAACCCATACAGGGAAGTAATACGCAGATCAGGATATTCCTAATATTACACACATTATCAAGTAGAATGGAATTGGAAAGAGTGTTACCCTTAAGGGTAACAACACGTAAGGAAGGAAAGGAAACAGTAGTGACACTGGACAACACTCTCAGATGAAGGGAAAGAGGGGTTTTTGTTTTGTATTAATCGATGTTCTTTCTTTTCACTGCTTATCTTGCATGATTTCGAGAATAAATATTTATTTACAACTTAAAATAAACGGGTTACTGCCTCAGCTAAGTAGACACAGATTTAATTCATTACCGTGTTTTTCGGTGTATAAGACGCACTTTTTTTACCCCAAAATCTGCTTGCGTCCTATACACCGAAGGTATGAATAATATAGATGTATATATACGATATAAAGAAGCCAGGTGTAAATATATTTAAATAGGCATGCATAGTTTAGTTCAGTTGAATGTGTTATTTATAACAATAGTAGTTTTTTCTTTTAAAAACATAACTATTTATAATGCTCCCTAAATAATAAAAAATAAAATTATAGTAATGGATGAGTGAAAAAGCTTGTAAATACACGACGATCCTTGTTTAATGTGAAGCAGAATAAGGCAGTTTTAGGCCTAACTTTAACAAATAAAAAATCGTTTTTGAG